GTCCCACGTCCCCATCCCTGTCTCCATCTGGTCCCACATCCCCATCCTGCATCCCTGTCCCCATCCCACGCTCCTGGCCCACAGCCCCATCCCATGTCCCCATCCCACATCCCTGTCCCGCATTCTAGTCCCACGTTCCCATTCCACATCCCTGTCCCATGTCCTTGTCCTACGTCCCCATGTCCTCATCCCACGTCCCCATCTCACATTCCAGTCCCACGTCCCCATCCCTGTCTCCATCTGGTCCCACATCCCCATCCTGCATCCCTGTCCCCATCCCATGTCCCCATCCCACATCCCTGTCCCGCATTCTAGTCCCACGTTCCCATTCCACATCCCTGTCCCATGTCCTTGTCCTACGTCCCCATGTCCTCATCCCACGTCCCCATCTCACATTCCAGTCCCACGTCCCCATCCCTGTCTCCATCTGGTCCCACATCCCCATCCTGCATCCCTGTCCCCATCCCATGTCCCCATCCCACATCCCTGTCCCGCATTCTAGTCCCACGTTCCCATTCCACATCCCTGTCCCATGTCCTTGTCCTACGTCCCCATGTCCTCATCCCACGTCCCCATCTCACATTCCAGTCCCACGTCCCCATCCCTGTCTCCATCTGGTCCCACATCCCCATCCTGCATCCCTGTCCCCATCCCATGTCCCCATCCCACATCCCTGTCCCGCATTCTAGTCCCACGTTCCCATTCCACATCCCTGTCCCATGTCCTTGTCCTACGTCCCCATGTCCTCATCCACGGCCCTGTCCCATGTCCTCATCCCACATCTCTGTCCCACATCTCTGTCCCATGTCGTTGTCCTACGTCCCCATCCCACGTCCCCATCTCACATCCCTGTCCCGCATTCCAGTCCCACGTCCCCATCCCACATCCCTGTCCCATGTCCTTGTCCTATGTCCCCATGTCCTCATCCCACGTCTCCATCCCTGTCTCCATCCTGTCCCACATCCCCATCCTGCATCCCTGTCCCCATCCCACACTCCTGGCCCACAGCCCCATCCCATGTCCCCATCCCACATTCCCAACCTGCATCCCTGTCCCATGTCTTCATCCCAAGTCCCCGTCTCCCACGTCCGCATCTCCCACGTCCCCGTCTCCCATGTCCGCATCTCCCACGTCCCCATCTCACATTCCAGTCCCATGTCCTCATCCCACATCCACATCCCCATCCCATGTCCCAATCCCACATCCCCACCCTGTGTTCCTGTCCCCATCCCACGTCCCTGTCCCACATCCCCAACCCATGTAACCCATCCCATGTTCCTATTCCACATCCCCATCCCACATCCCCATCCCACATCGCCAATCCTACGTCCCCGTCCCGTGTCCCCGTCCTGCATCCCATCCCGCTTCCTCATCCCACATCCCCATCCTGCATCCCTGTCCCCATCCCACGTTCCTGGCCCACAGCCCTATCTCATGTCCCCATCCCACCTTCCCAACCTGCATCCCTGTCCCATGTCTTCCTCCCACGTCCCTGTCCCACATCCCTGTCCCACATATCCCCATCTCCCACATCCCCAGTCCCACGTCATCTCACATCCACATCCCCATCCCATGTCCCCATCCCTGTCTGTGTCCACTTCCCCATCCCACACCCCTGTCTCATGTCCTCATCCTACACCCCCATGTCCCCAGCCCACATCCCCATCTCACATTCCAGTCCCACATCCCCTTTCCACATCCCTGTCCCACATCTCCATCCCACGTCCCCATCCCTGTCCCATGTCCTCGTCCTACGTCCCCATCCTGTATCCCCGTCCCCATCCCATGTTCCCTTTCCACATCCCCGTCCCATGTCCCCATCCCTGTCCATCATCCTCATCTCACATCCACATCCCCATCCCATGTCCCTATCCCTGTCTGTGTCCCGTCCAGCATCCCCATCCCACATCCCCATCCTGCATCCCTGTCCCCATCCCATGTCCCCACCCCCCCCCCCATCCTGCATCCCTGTCCCCATCCCATGTCCCCATCCCACATCCCAGTCCCACATCCCCATCCCACATCCCTGTCCCATGTCCTCATCCTACATCCCCACGTCCCCATCCCACATCCCTGTCCCGTGTCCTTGTCCTACGTCCCCATGTCCCCACCCCACATCCCCATCTCACATTCCAGTCCCACATCTCCATCCCACGTCCCCATCCCTGTCTCCATCCCGTCCCACATCC